AATATTCGTACTTTGAAGTTTTATAGATGTTTATTCAAATTATTCTAGTATTTTAAAGAATAAAGAACAACTTCCCTTTGATTTCCAAGTCAGTTTATCTTTCTCTACTATAAGCAACAAAAGACTAATTTTAACTTTCGTCAGGCTAGTCGATATATGTAAATATTCTTTAGTTCTCTAAGTGTTCATTATATCATACTTTTTGTTTTTCCATTTAAGAAAAAAATTTAGTTTCCATTTAATTACCTACTAAACAGAGTCATGATATTTAAAATTATTTATTTACACAATTTAATGTATAATTAGGGAAAAATATAGTCAAAGAGTTCAGCCTGGTTTCCGTATTTCTTGATTATTTTTAAGCACACGACTTGGGTTTTCATTTTAAGAACTTCATTCAATGAAAGTAGGCCAAAAGTAATAGTTGAAATTATCCCAAATATTGCCTAGGATAACTAATGTCTTCGACACAAATGACTAAATACTAATGACCTCACACTATAATCAAGATTATATAAGAAGAATCAAACATCAGTTTCTTACCAGGGGATCCCCTTCTGTGTCAGTTTGTGGAATGTGCTTTGAGGTTGTGGCTTCCTTGGTGGATGTGCAACCCTCATACCCAACATCTTCGGGTCGCAACTGCAGTAATGCTGGGCTCTCCTGAGGCAGAGATGATGAGTTCCATGGGTATGTGTCAAGCACCCACTTTGAGGGATCTTCCCATGGTGTGCGTTTTCCATACATCTAAAAGTTGACCACATAGTTAGCACATATAATAGGCATTTCTATTCAGTAAAAAAGGTAACTATTAATTAACTTTTATTTTGTACATTGAGTTCTTATGGGACTTTCAAGGGAATTAAGTATATGTACACAATTTACCAGACTTTAAACATGTATCTGTTTAAATAGCTCACTTCAAACTTCAATGCTACACAAAATAAAGCTGAACATCTAGAATGAGCATTTGGGAGAAAATATAAGGAAGGTTTTCCATAAATACATACTGCCCA